TTTATAGATTAAAAAATTATAAGTTGAAAATGTATTGCCTGTAACAATGATTTGCAATAAAAATTTATGTGGTTAAAAAAAATAATTTATGTTATAGAAATTGAAATAAATAAACAAATGTATACTCTTATATCATAAAGGAATTGAAGTTGTTAAAAAGGAAATTTTGATAAATCAATTAGAATAAATCTGTAATTCAATTTGTAGAATGACCGTGCACTGAGACGAAGTTCACAGAGGGAGGGGAGACAATGCCATGGAATATTCGTATGAAGCAACGTAGAGTTTTGAGTGAGATCCATGTTGAAATTCTCTCAACCTACTGCATGTTTTCCTTTTCGAAAGTGATAACTGCACTGACAATTTGTTGGCTCGCCGGCAAATAGCTTTTTGAAATATCTGACCAGATTCAAGTTCTTCGAGCGATGACTTCTGCTGGTTCCTTCAAGAGGTTAGAGTCGCAACTGCTATGATAAACCACTTTCAGGTTCGAAACGCACACGCGGAAATCACTATCTTTGTCATTTGTGTTGACCTCTAAGATACGCGCTTATCGTACGAAGCCTTGCAATCTTGAGGCTGCGAGCCAGTTAACATCTTCTAACAGAAGGATTTGTCACGTTCCCTGGTGCAATTCTTTTTCTTTGCCACCTGGAGCTCCTCTGGTCGGTTCTCTGAAACGTAGATCCCAGTTCCTAAACGGTGGAACATCGACTCCAATGCTCTCTCTTCCTGTCTGCAGAGTTGTCCCTATTCAGTCTAACTACTTAATTGCTACCTTTATGTTTCGAAACAGTCTCAAATTTTCGTACAACTCGCGAGATTCCAGTTTGGGTTGGAAACATTTAGTGCACCAAGCGAGTAATCATAGTTGAGGCAGTTTTGCCCTTCCACCAGTTTAGCTGCATCAAAGTTGTACAGCAAAATTAGGCTTCCATTCAAGTTTGCAGATCCATAATTTTCAACCATTCGTTTCGAAATGGAATACTGAGTACTGTGTGGAGGCAGTTCTGTTTCCTCAAGAACATGGGTCTTCAATACGGGAGCTATGAAGAGAAATTCCGCATACGGATAGCATAATATAACAACAGCGCGCTTGGTTATCTTTATGTCACCATCACAATATTTATAATTCAAATATTATAATGCCAAAAAGTTCTTGGAGTCAGGACAAGTATTGTTTGCAAACAACTTACGAGGATCGTAACCCGTTTACAAAAGTTCAACTAAGGAAGGTAGAGGTAAAGTGACCACATCATTTCACGCTGTTGGTTAGGAAATTTTTAAATAACGTTGTAAATAATGATGTCGAGTTAAAACGATTGATCCAAATTTATGACGTCATAATATTGCTCTGGGTGAAATCCAGAAGTCAGATCATGAAAGTGCCATTACATCAAATCACTTGTAGATTTAAAAGCTCATATATTCAAAGTATTGCATGAGGTAGAGGCTGATTTTGATGATTTCTCGGCAAAGTTTGAAATAATACAATCACACCTCCTCTCATCTTGTCTATAGAAATCCTTACCATTCAAATCACTCATCATCATTATATATAAACAGCAATAAAGTTAGTTGTATTTACCTTGAAGTTTTTCAAATGTATGTTTGACAAAACCTCAAACATGTGCAAGATAGATTAAAATATGAAAAATTTAGTAATGCAAATGACCTCAACCTCGATTATGATCAAAATTTTGTAAAGTTAGGCAAACAATCAAAAAGTTGTCAGCGTGAATTGAATTACTCTCAATTCTAATTGGCTTGTTAGTTAGTTGTACTTTTTTTTGAAAAAAATCATTCAACCATGGATTTATTATCAGAAGAAATAGATGTTATATTAATTTCAGTATGTTATAAAGACATTAACAGGCATATTACTGCAAATATGTTCTTATTGTATTTATGTAAGATTCAACAAGAATTTAATGTTCAGATGTTGCTGGAAGTATGAGATTATGATGACATTGCTTTGCAAAAGAAAAAATTGTAAATTTTAGTTTTTTATTTAGCTTTATGATTTGAATTACTACTTCTTACTAAGAATGTAAGTTTAGAATGAAGATAAAAGTAAAATTCATTAAAAATTTGAATTTGTAATCTTAATTATAACCAAAAGAGTATGAATACATGCTAAATCATAATAATACTGGTAAAATAACCCTAATTTATTCAAATATTGATCTATATATTTGCTATTTTTTTACAAAAATCATTGATTTATAAAAAACAAACTATTTTTTTTTTTAAGGATTGAATGTATGAAAAATATTCATGAACTATTTTGTGTGTGAATTTGTCTATATTTCAACTTGTAAAGAAAAAAAAACATTTGAATAGACAATTTACATGTTTGTTAACAAATTGTTATGAATCGATTAAAAAGTGGATTTTCACAATCACATCACAATGAATTTTTTTTGCATAAAATTCACAAGAGCATCAAAAACATACAATGCACATAGATTTGACTTTAACAATATGTAATTTGTCTTTGGTTATGTCCATGAGAACATAATAGTTCATCGTCAGACTGATACAATATTCAAAGTCAAGCTACAACTAAACCTCCTTTGTATTCCAGAAATCAAAATCCCTGCAACCCTAGTCCAAGTTTTGCACAAACTTGAAATGAGTTGAGTTATCACTAACATTTTATAGATCACTTCGTGAGCTATATTGCCTACAGGTTTAAATTATGGACAAATTGCTAATTCAGTGTATTGTAATTTATTAATAAATTTGTACTATCATTTAAAATTAAATTAAAGTTATAAAAAACACTAAATCATATTATAAGAAAATAATAATTATCATCTTTAAATCTTCAAATATTTTTTCCCATTTCACATATGAAGTTGCACATTTAAAAATATTTCATATAATAATTTTAAATGATATTCAAATTCAAATTCAAAATATTTTGAATTCATTTGATAAATATCTGGCAAAAATGACATCATATTGAGTATATGTAGCATAATAAAAGAATTAAAAAATTATTGATTTCGGCTTTACATCTTGAAAGAAAAATTTCACATAATAAAAAATTGAGTACATTTTGTTTCAAGCAATATGAAAATAATTTTAAAATTTTCATTTTATGTCTAATTTTTTATTTTTTTGTTAATTTATTTATAAAAAAATTTTTCATTTCATCATATGATTTTCTTAGATATAAGTTAAGCATAAAGAATCTTAAAATGATAGCAAAAAAATATTTTTTTATCATAAAATTTTTGTAATACAAATTTTAATTACTGATATGCATTGAGTTTAATTGAAAATTCTTATTTTAATTTATAGAATTTAAACGTGTAAATGGTTTCTTTTATATGTTTTCTTATTATACAATAAATTTTTTAGATAATCAATTTCAAACCAAATCTTTTATATTTTATTTTTAATAAATTAGGTTAATAATTAAGCTATTTCTGGACAATTTCAATTACTTATAGTTTTAAATATTACGTAAAGTTTAAAAGTATCTTATGCACTATTTTCGTTATAGTTAAAAAATATTAGAACATGATAAATTGCAGTTTGATGAAAAAAAATTATTTTTAAACATGTATGAATTTTAATACAATGAATTTTAAAGTCTTTTTCTCCTATAAACTGTTTTAAAAGTTTGACTTACACATTATTTCTTTTTTTTCAAAATTTTCGTTGAAGATTTTACCATATTAAATATCTAGTGCATTGAATTTATCTATCATGTCTTAGAAAATAAATATTCTGTTCTTGTGCAAATTATATATTTCAGTTTTTGTGTTATAATTGTCTTGTTATGTTGCAACTAACGATGATTTTCTGTTATAATTTTATCAAATTATTTTTAAAAATAATTTTGAGATATTTACAATCATACAGATAAAAATTGCTTTGATTAAAATAAAAAAAGGAAAGTATTTTGATTGAAAAATCAGTGTAAATCCAATTTTGAAGCGATTTTTTCTTTTATGTTTATAATTTATGTTTTCAATTTACTGAAATTATCTGATATATCTCTCTGAATAGAAAAAAACTTTGAAAATAAATCTTAAATAATCTTAAATTGAAAAACTAGGTTTTCAATTTAAGATTATTATTAGTTTTATGAAGTGAAATCTATTGTGGATTGATTAATTATTATCTCAACCGTTTTTTAACATGGTTTTTAAGAAAAAAAATCAAAATATTCTAATGTAGTAATCAATTATTATCAAATAATTTAAATGTAAAATGTTTAGATAATTTTTTCTGTGATGCTCATAATATTTGTGCTGTTATCATTTTATATTTAAATCGCATGAAAGCATACAATAGGTTAGATTGTGATTATAATTTAAAAATACATCGCCTATGAGCATTTGTTGATTATATCAAGTTGTTATGATTGATGTGATCTTGCGGTGTAGCAACATGTTAGGAGCTGATCTGCAAACTTCCAGAAGTAGCCATGATTACATGAGAGGCTAATTGTTATATTGATGTGTCCGTTTTAATATTTGTGAGGGAGATGTCTAGCCTTTTGCAAGGTTGTTCATACATGTGTTTACGTTATCGTGATTGGCTTTAGAGAGCATATTTACTGTGTTATTTTGCATTAAAAAAAATTAGACATCTTGATTGCATGACATTATAACATGCTTTAGGCCCGACAGGTTGAGACGGTTGTTTGATGCCCGCATCACCACAAGTTATGAGTTGCATATGAATGACATTAGATCAAAGAAGGATTTTTTTTAATATTTTTTTTTCTTCATAGATTTTGTTGATATTTGCGTTGTATTGTCTTAGTCGGTTTTTGTGGGTTTCTTTATACCATGTGTCCAAGTCCTTTTCCTTCCTAGAGTTTAGGGTAAAGCCCTATCGAACTCAATATCCTATAGCACCACGTAATAATGCGGATACCCTGGGTCCCACTTTGCGATTCCTCTGCTGCTGACAGTGACAAATATGGCACTAGAGTCGATAAGAGGAATTGCTGCGCAGAATCGATAAGGAAGGCAGCACAGCAAAGCACGGCAGATCGATTTGATTCGATGGACCCCTTGTGGGCGCGATTTGATTCGATAGACCTCATGTGGGTGATGTGATGAGAATCATGCGGCGTGATTAGACCATTATCGAGTTCAGAAACAAAACCGCTAGTATTACACAGAATGCGTGGCGGCAAGGGTGCATTGATTCGGGGAGCAGAGCAATTTTTTTAGCAGTCGTAGAGCAGAGCAGAGCAGATTGGCGCAATCCCAGTAGTAGTCTAAGAGAGTCTGACTGAAAATTGTTTCTCCCAAAAATTTGTGGATGAAATGTTTTTTGTTGCAGACCGGTAGCAGGCTGATCAGTGTGGTCATGGGCAGGATTTCAACACCTCCGATGTCATGTGGTGGTTTCGATATTGAAGACTTAAGGCCCATCTTACAAATTCGAAATACCTGGTAGTGTTTCATACTGCACGTACACAAACTGTACGGTCTATCCGGAGCGCCGAAGGCGGAGACGATGCACTGTTAGTCAAGGTCATTGCGAACAGAACTCGAGTCCTTTTCAAATTGAACGGAGATCACCCAAAATTCTGTGCAGATCACAGTTGTCAATGGAAGATCCTTCTGTGGAGGAGGGGTCCTCGACAACTCGACCTTATTCGGCAGGATCTCCATGGGTGTTCAAAGGACGAGCTCTGTACCAACTGCATGTGGTGAAAGCTGACGTTGCCCGCAAGGTCATACCGAAGGAGTTGAAATTGGTGGAAGCGTTCGGGTTCACTTTGGGAGGATTCTTCCTTGCACATTACGATGGCAGTCCAGCGGGACAGTTTGACGAAGCGGTGATAATACCTGGGATCGTCTGGAACCCACCCACCTCGTGCGCCTGGGCTGGCAGAGTCCTCGTGGGAAGTGAAGAAGCTCGCGATCATGGCAGGAAGGAAGTGGGCCTGCCTAGTTTTGCAGCTCAATTTGCATACTCATCTATTCGAGAGGACGCAGCACCTTTTGCCTGGTGGGACGTAAGGCGTTGGCTAAATAAAGGTGGAAAACCTTCGTCGATTATCAAGCATTCCATGCATCTTGTGCAGAAAGAACGTGGTGTCAGCTCTCCTCTCTGTTCGATGCATGGTCTTCCTGAAAGACTGACAAGCTCAGACAAGGACCACCGGCGATGGTCGGGACCCTCTGTGCAGCTCTACCTGCCGAATTTCAGCGGCAAGACTAAGGAGCAACCTCATCTACTCAAGTATTCTTGTCGGCTCAATTGTAACGTCAGCGCCGTGGCTCCTGTAAAGATTGCTCCTCCGAGCAACGCTGAGAAAATCAACGACGATACGAATGACGTCCTGGCTGTCTTGACAGGAAAACCTCTAGTTTCCATCTTCTTCGACCACATGGTCATGAGTGTGGAAGCACCCACTATTGTGAGTATGAAAGAGATGGACGACGTGCAAGCTGTGACCTCTAGTCAAGTTCCCGCTGCTCCAAGCGCATCTGCGTCGTGAAAAACTTTCTGTCAGCCGGAGAAGGACAAGACGTTGCTGCACTCTGCCTAGAGCCATAATTGCGTTAAAAGTGCACGCGTTTTATTGTATAGATGCATAGGTTGATGTTTCGGATCTAAGCATGCTTCTCAAGTCCAATGAAGACCGGGTGGAGTACCTTTAGCCGCATATAAAACCTGTCGTACAATGGTAGGTTGACTGCGCTGTGGTTGCAGCCACACAGGGATTGTAGTGTACTCATTAGAGCCACAATTCTATGATTTGAAGGGGAACAACCCGTGAATAAGATCCATGCAGCCTTGCTGAAGGATACGACTACATCGGTAAAATGTGTAATGTGTGTGCTAAGAGCATCTATTTTGCTGATTACTTCAAATTACGTTATAGAAAAGGTCCGCGGACCTCAAATGAGTTTGGCAGCAAACTTGAATTTCACATGCTGGAGTTTTACAACAGATTGCAATTATGGAAATGTCAAATTTGCGTGTCTTGTGACTATGCTTCATAAACCATATGTTATGAGACTCTGTCGGTTTGCTACAGTTTCATAAGAACGTGTAAGTTTATATAGGTCGATTTAGTATGTGAATGCACCAGTCTTCCGTCCACTGCACTCAACTGTGTGACTATTCTTCGCTTCGTGCAAGACTTCCAAGAAATACTATATCAATTTGCACCCTAAGAACACACAACGAAATCAATAGGCATAAATTGGTGTAGATGGTGTATATCTCAAATGTCTACAGATGATAATGTTCAACGAAGTGACAACCACACTATTCCCACAGATATTTAACAATTATCACCGCATAGATATCGCAGATAGACAAGGCATTTGTGTACTCTGGACATCTCCGAAGCTATTCTCATACATGCTTACAGCCGGTAACAGTTCTACTGTTATCGGCTACGGTTAACAGTTCTACTGAACACTGTGAGAGTAATGAGTTTTGGGACATCAGATGCAGGAACAAAGATCCCGTTGAGGCCACAAGCACAGATATCCCGAAGCCTTAAGTGCCTCCAGTCCTTAACAATCACTTCAATCTACTGTTCTTGAAAGGTAGCATTAACATCCGCTCAAGAAGAATAAGTGCTGAGAGATCGGTGGTCTCCTACCGTAGAACAAGCTACAAAAGACTTAGAAGACAGAAAGCCCCAAACGATCCACTTTGCAGTAGTGATAGTATTCGAGGTAGGTTTCCCATCTTTTGACGTGAGGACCAGGCGTGCAAAACAATGTTCTTGAACTAGACTATTCTCTTTTTTCTCCAAAGTATTACACCTGCGACAAGACCTAGCACCAGTACAGAAGCTACTGTCGGCAGAGTCTTATACAAAAATTGGGAACTTTTTGTAGTTGAAACTGAGGTCTCATCCACCTGGCCGACAACATACTTCTCCATTAACTTCCAGGCATCAGTGCTATGACCTGCGTCGTCAAATTCTTCGGTGGCATCTTCACCTGCAAATGTAGAGCAATTTGCAAGCGGATTAAACCACGTACGAGAAAACAGAAATGCTGTCATATTCATCACTCTTCAATCGCTCAAATTGAGCAGGCAGGATATGTCAAAGTTTCAAGCCAGCGTACTCCACGAGATCATTTCAACAAATGCCTCCATGACTTTCATACGATTCCTACTCCAGCACTCAGGAGTCACAAAGAGCATGTCGCAGTGTAATTACCATTGAGGTTTCAAAACTAATGTCCTTCGGAACTGCCTGAACCTGAATAGAAGACATGACTTACAGCTAAGCCTCACTGACAGTCTTAGTTTCATACATAAATAACTATCATTCTTGACCTTCTAGACCTTTTGATCTCACTTTCAGTGTGACAGAAGATTCTTCACGATCGTAAAAATCGCAACGAAATCCACTGTGTGACTATATGCCTCAAATCAGTTCTTTAAGGTCGAAGATTTCTCTATCCTACATACTTAACAATCATGCTGGCCATAATTGTCAGGTATGCAAGCTGACGAGCCTCTGAACACTCGTACATGGCCACCATTCCTCCTCGAGGAGATGGCAGGCTCGGAGCATAGGAAATAAAAACCGTGACAACTGACAACCCACAAGGACCAGATATTGAGCTATGGAGACTCGAAGCAGCTGAGATAAACAGTAAGGCAGAAACGAATTCTTTGTAAAGTCATCCCTGATTCATACAATCTGCTTACTACTGAACGACCGATTTAGTGTGACCACCTGCCGACACCAGTAGAACTTGATCTCCACCGGGATGATCGTCTAAATATTTCGTCACATCATAGATCTGTAACATACAACAGAAAATTAATGTCATTTCTCACAAATTGAATATGTGGTCAACAAACAGCACGCATGATGGTTTAATCAGTAAGAAATAGAAGCCACGCTCCCTTGTGAGTGAGCGTAACCATCACTCCTAACTCATCACAGGTATTCTAATACATGTACTCTTCCACGCAACAAAAAGATGTTTCTCTCCAATGTCCAGTCTCCAGCCAAAAATAGACGAACATTTCTGAGACAAAAAAAAATATCGACACAATATTCCCTGGACGACGGTGAACACAGCAGTGCGAGCCTCAAATCCATCGAGATCTGCAGATCGTGATCCGGTGGAACGATGGAACTGTCGCTTTCCCTAGAGACAGATGAGGAAATTCCTCGATCGACAAAAACGCTACACTGTATCTAGGGAGGGATGAAAAGGAATCCACCATCGGACCCGCTGAAACAAAGGAAATGGTCAGACACGGACAAGACAAGACAAGACAGGTGAAGAGAGGAGAGGAGAGGAAATGCACAGAAGTATCATTGCAGAGCAAAAGAAGATGAGAGTACTGTCGACGAGAGGTATAGACGGGACCTTGCCGTGAATGATAACCCAGCAATCGTCAGCAGAACTGTGAGTTGCAACTTCTTCTACAGTATACTTCTCGATGCTCATGCTTTCTACTTGAGATCTTCCTGCTCCTGGTCCTGCTACTCCACCTTCATCGAGAAGTACCAACTCCACCATCTCCCCCTCGCTTCAGTCAATTGTAAATGTACTGTTCCGACTTTTTCACTTTCAAAAAGTCCCCGAAAAGTTTTCAAATTTTAATTCAAATCCTGTACCATCAACTGGGAATCCCATGTGACCAGTCCCCCACTCTCAGAGAGCTCATAGAATTCCTCTTCACCACAAATTCCCTAACAACAACCCCGCGAGAATGGCAGGGTCGGATTGGGTGGATGGTCGGTCCACGATTCAGCCGTTAGTCTCCTGGAGGCTTTGTCAAAAATCCCATGCTCACTATGAGTCTATGTGAGCAGTTAAAAACCCTGAATGGTGTAATTTCAGCCACATCAGTCAGGCGGGCTTCTGACCATTCCCCAACCCCTACTCGTATTACTGTACTTCACGTCTTCTTTCCTATACTTCTACACTGACACTTTCATGTCCGGCTGGACAACCAGCTCCAGAATCCGAATCCCTGATTAGGACTAATCTTCCTGTGCTTGCAAAGCACAACACAAGTCGATTAAGCAATCAATCTGTGTCGGTCTCCTCTTCTTATTCTGCAGGCCTTGCGTACATGTCGACAGCCACAGTACAGCAGGAGATTTTCGCTTGCTTCGAGAATTTTAGATTTTTGTGGGTTCGTTCCTACCTGGCTTCAATGGACCGTCGCCTTTCTAGACATTCCGCGACCGAACACTAAACCCAGAATTCTGTCGTTCTGCAAAGCAGATCTTTTATTACACTACGGAGAGTTGAAAGAATCCACGGGGCATCTTTCTTTCTTTGTACAAAACTGAGATCAATTGAGTGCATCCAAGATTCCAGATGTTTCTCATAAGAACCTTCCCAAGAAATAACCTCAATACTCGAGAATAGTCAGACATTCATGCACCTAAAAAGCTAAAAAAGACCAAGGACGCATTACACATACAAGAAATAAGTAATTATCATAATAATAATATTATTATTATTATTATTTTGTTATTAGTGCAATCTATCTTTGTCTTCATACACTCATTTTGAAGATTGAATTTGAGACATCATATCTTTTGCTGGAGATACTTTCTTGTGGTTCATCAAGAAAGAGTAGCTCTTTTGTCGGAGAATTGGATTGAAGGCATATGTGTATGCCATATTATCAGATCCATAATTAAACTAAGTCGCGTTCACAATTATAAATCATAAAAAAATTGCTGGAGAAGTGGCTAAACACAGTATTAAAAATTAAAAAATGTAGAAAACTTGCTCTATGCAAGACAAAATGAAAGAACACAAAATTTTACTTCTGCTGTTAAAGTAAATTAAGCAAATTTGTAGACAAAATAAGATAGAAAAAATTTCAAATTTATACGTTCATACTTCATACAAATTTTTTATTACTTTTATTATAATTAAAATTTTCCTCAATCTAAAAAATAAAAAAAATAAAAATAGAACTCATGATCATGTCCAGTCATGAAAATGTCATGTAAAAATCAGTATTATGTGAAGTTCACACGCTACTTTTGGTAACTGATTTGACAAAAAGAATCTATATTTTTTCTTGCATTTAAAAAAAACCTTGTTGTTTTTTAATTATGTATGATTTTCGAAAATTATCTATCCTTTATAATGATTATAATTTAAAAAAAATTAAATATAATCTTGTCATTTATGTATTTGAAATATTTTGAAGTACTTGAAATAATTCTTTTGTATTTGGAGTTCCACAGATCTTTCCACTTTGCAATGCTGTGGATTTATCATATACATTGCCTTTATAAAAATAATCTTAATCTCATAAATTATTACCCTGCAAATCACTAGCATATTTAATAATAAAATTTAATAAGCAGATAAATCAATCAATGATGTAGATTAAATATTTAATTTTTTGATTCATTTTTGTATCATTCTTTGAATTTTATATTTATGCAGATTTAATTTTCTTTGCAAAAATTTTAATAAATTTTCAAAAAAAATCAGTGTTTTTAATATCATCTAAAATAAAATCAAAATTTTCATCATTTCATAGAAGATTCATAAAATTTTGCAAATTCATGAAATAAATGAAAAAACATTGACAAGAAAATGAAAAAAAAATAAAAGCAAGAGACTCACAGAACAATAGATAATGTGATCTGACTCTAGCTATGTTTACGTGAACAGTAGATTTACTCAAAAACCTGTTACAATGCTCGACGGCGAGCTAGGTCTCGCCGTCCTAAGTAGTCGGAAGAAACAGAAGCTTAATACCTAACCCGGGTATTCTGGAAAACCAGCAGATAGCCGACAAGAGTTATTTCAACCAATGATTTTTCACTATATTATATAATCACATGATATATTGATCAATCGATTATTAATCAATGTTAGTTACCCACAACTGTAATTATCGATACTTCTTAATTTATAATGAAATAGAATTTAAATTTATTATTCTATATATCTCACTAAATATAAATATTTCATATTTATTATTATCATAGATTCATAAAAATATGATCAAGAATCATAAAGAACTCATTTAGGGTAAATAATACTAATAAAATCTCACCAATCTGATCAATAAATACTCTTAAAACAAAATATACATGAAATGGAATTATGGATATGATTATCATACTTTAATATTATATGTCATAATATACTTCAATGCTTTAATTATACTGGTTTTTTTTTGGTACAAAATTATTCACTTTTTTAACAGTAAATTAAGTAAATCAGGATTTTTTATCTCCTTTATAAATGTATTGCCCAAAATAATGAAGCTTACAATATCTTCTATTTTCAAAACTGTATATGTTAATAAAGTGTATAAATAAAGTAAGAGAGTGAGACCTTGTGTTAATTTTGTGTATATTTCGAACTTTTGGCACAAGATGTAAATCCCGTATATTATATCTAAATAAGCACGTCTTATCAAATATCATTTGCTCATGCCACATGAATAGCATAAATATAAGAATATCGATATTCATTGACTTGAAATTTTATCAGGTGTAGAATATATTATCATCACCTCTGCAACAATGATATATCAGGTAGATGTCAACAGAAACAAAGCAAGTAGAAACTATTGATAGTATGTGAAGGGACTCATGCATCCAGTCTATACACCAACAGATTAAAACTGTAATGTTTTATATTTTTATGGTTGTTAAATTTCAGTGTACATCAATCAGTACAATTTTTGCTTATCTGTTATAGAAAATTTGTCTTTTCACTTCTTCACATTCATTACTCACATGAATGTGAGAAAATTTGTACTTACTCGTATAATGAGCTTGGAAACCTACTTCTTCATGTGCAATGTCAGGTACTGGTATTTGTTCAGCAATTGACATAAATGCTAATGTCATGTTCTTGTGTATGATAGCGGTATTGCATCTTCTCTCAAGACATGCTGAAAAGCATGGTGGAATTAACTAACTGTTAAAATGATGTGAAAATTGAATAAAAAATCTTATTTTCCTAAGGCTTGTTGTGATTCAGAGTCCTTACACTTTGAATTCATCTCTGTGCAATCTTCTAGTCCATGCACTCATCTTAATTATATATCTTATAATGTGTGTACGTAAACCGATTTAAAAAAATTTCGTGTGCATGAACCTTATCGTCCTTCTCAAATCGCATCTGGGTTAACAGATATCAGTCTCATCAGATTTCGTGTCTAGAACTTCACTGATGGCAAGGTGGGGACTTTCAATTCACTTTTTCTAAAGTGTGGTTACAAAACCTGCATGGAGTTTATGGTTGTCTTGATTGTGATCAGCATTTTCTAAACAACACTGTTGTGTTGAGAAGATGAGTTTGCAGGGACTTTTATAAGTAAAGTAGAACCTGAGATAAGAGGAAGTTAACACAGCTATATCAAGAACATGAAAAATTAATACTTCAATTGAAGCTCGTGAATCACATGTGGTTTCACGCCTGGGATCTTGTTGTCATGACCATATAGTGTCAAAGATTAGTCTTGAAGTCAATGTTCCAACAAAATCAGAATTTTGTGTCCACAATGCACATCATTGAAAATGGGAAGCTGTCGGCGGATGATACCTAACATTTTCATAGCAAAGTTTCCATAGCATAGCATAGCATCACGTGCAGTTTTCCCCTCTTTCTGGATCCTAGAAATAGAAGACTTATGACGTAGGAATATACCTACTACCTCGACAAGTGTGAGTTTAGACTTGCTGAAATGGTTTCACAATGCAGTGTGTTGGGATCGGAATTGTTTAGGTTAGAAACCGAGAAAGGGGGAGAGCTATTGAGAGTGTGTGGAGTCCAGGGCACTAGCAGTGAGTTTCTTAGTCAATGCTTCAAACTTTTCACCGAATTTGTGTGTGGCGTGCAGAAGTCTCTCCCAGCGTCTTACTTAGTGAAAGCTTCAAACCTCTCACTCTGTATACAAGATAATGCACACAACACAGAAATTAAGTAGACCGCAGACCAAACAACACACCTTCAGTCTGTTTTCCCAAGCGTGTCCAACTTAATGCAACAGCAGTACAACGTAGGAAGTGAGTTACATGGGGTCTATAAAATATTTTGTGGCCATATTCAGCTCTTTTGCGTGGGCAATCTTACTTTGTATTTGTGCTAAGAAATGTGTCGATACACTCGGTTTTTCTTTTCTCCGGCACTGGCATTTGTGTACTTTGATCAATTGATGCTTAAATGCGGAGTATGTCATCGTTCACCATCAGCACAAAGCAAATGTCATTCATCACGTGTGGCTGATCCACTCAGTTCTAATTGATTTTTCTTCAACTAAAGTTCCGTCCTTGAACTGTAGTTAAAGGAATATCGACAGTGTGTTGTTACAAACCTTACTGTAGTAATTCTAAGATCTGCTGCAAGTTTCAGCGACGTTCACTTGAATTGATGTGGACTTCAAAATCGACTAAAAGATCTATCCACATGGAGAATATAGTTCTTTTAGTTTTTGGAACAAAAGCAATGTGGAGCAATCAGGCCGTATCTTCCTTCTTGACTTTTGAGTTAGGTAGCTCTGAAACTCAAGTTGCGGAACTTGAGTTTCAGAGCAAAACTAATGCGCCCGGTTATAGGACAACAAGTCTCACATTTTGTTATTTAAGCTTGAAGTAAGAAGAAGCAACAATGCATTTCTTGAGACATCATTTGTGACCCAACTAGTCGCTCCTTGACACCACCCGTTGAGAATCGAAATATGGCGGATCGCTCCGTATAAGAAACTTGAAAAATTAGTAAGCTATGCTAGTGAGCGGTGAAATTACATAACTGATCCTTTCATAATATAATTCTACGTTCTTAAAATATTGTGGGCGGCAACTACAGATATCAAGAAATGTAAAGCATGTGCTTACCAAATTCATGGCATGCGCCTGGGTCTCTTGGGGAATCTATTCCAGTTAGCGGAATCGAAATGCGAGGTCCGTGGTATATTCGTTCCTATCTTTGCACAGCGGTAATTGTTAAGAATCGTCCATAGGAACGGCAGTTTAGCGCTAGATAAACTGCAATTTAAAAAGTGATTGTACACCCACGTTTATGACGTCGCGCCTGGCCAAAAGGATATTGAGTAACATGGCGATGCAAGAGCATGCTAGAGAAAAAAAAGCGTCTAATGTTTGATGTGCTGTGAGAATTTGGTCCCAGTGTGAACCAAGAAATAGAGCGAGAAGGTTGTGAAATCCTCTACAATTGTTACATGGATTCATGGAGACGTAAGACCCTGATACTAGTGACAAATTTATCATCTTCTCTACTGACAAATATGTCTCATAACTATCTACGTAGAACCCATCTTAACCATCTGGGTATAAGGGTAAGGCGCTCCACATGAATTTACAAAGAAGTACCATCTGCTTCATACAATATACGCAGTACAGAGCATACGGAAGAGGCAAAGTGAATTCCTTGTGAGTAGACTGCACAGGTCTGAAATGATATTGTGTGACATCCTGTTATTACTGTACACTTGTAACAAAGTTGCACAATAGACTAGTTAACTTTTGGTGTTTACTGATAATGGTGCTACTTGCTGTCTTTTCGTTCGTAAATTTAATTTTGTTCAACAAAGGGTGCCGCAAGCTGAGACAAGTATCATATTCATCCTTCAGAAGCTTCTATCCAGCCATAATTCACTACTCTTGTTGCAGCCAAACAGTCGCCAGGACGTTGTCTGCTTGCATGGATGTGAATCTTCCTATGTGGGTACATCCTACGTCACGCATCGGCGACTTCTCTCAAGCCAGGGTGACACTTTTCGTGCATCAGTAATTCACTTTGGACTGACACATTCTGTTTCATTCGGAGATTTCTGCAGGTATGATTCTGCTCAGTTCGTTATGAACAAGATTTAACATGTCTCGTTCTTACGATGAAGAGATACAAAGGTTATTAGCATTGCTATTGCCATGTGAAGAGAAGATGGACTTTCGCCTGTACAGATACCCTCCACCTACCATTCAGGCAAATGACTACTGATGTGACCACAATGCTCAGTCTCAGCATCCTCATTGTCGACTAAGCGACCTCTTTGAAGTGGAATGAAAGTCCCAATTTACATCAGAAGAACAATCAGTCGAACTATCTTCATGCTGACAGATATTGTCGTTGAATATTCATATGGCTATATCAGACATAATGCATGTCTATACAAGATAGAGAATGAAAAGCGTGCTGCGAAATTGGTGTGCCTCTACAGGTCCTATAGAACGGGTAGCCTTGCCCACATAGCTTTAACTCCTACATTGATCACAGTTATTGCAGTCTACTGCACGAGTTAACTACAGCTCGTGCAACTCGTGATGGATGGCTTCCTCGACCACTTCCTCATTTTGATGACACACTCAAGAATGAAAGGACCGACAGTTGTAACACGGAGCACGAAACGTGTCCACTTTTGTTGCTGCTGAAGGATAGTAATAAGATCTATGCATACCATAACAAACCGTCGGATTCACTCTTCTTTCTTCGTCAAAAAACGGACAGCTACGGCCAGAGCCAGGATAGCCATTGGCACTACAAATTGCAAAATCTTGATGAGGAACTCGTTAGTTTTGTCGTGGTTGTATGGTGGCGACTTCGCTGCATGGTAGGTGGGCTTCGATGGAAATGATGCCTTGTCTACTTCTCCAACGTAGTACTCTTCCATCATACCGCGTGCGCTAGTACTATGCCCTACGTCTTCAAAGTCATCTGTGGCGTCTTTACCTGCCATATCACAACACACAGGATCATTAAATCGGTTCTCCAAGAAAGCAGATCCTTTTCTGCGACCCAACATACACCATAATTTTAAGCTGTTGACAAAATTTCATCTTGGTCTTGGTATCAACTCCGTTCATGTCCTAGGCCTTACTTGTATATGACATGTGATCTGGGTGAACTCAAACCACGGGACGGTTTTACGCAGCTGTACCTGTGGCTGATAGAAGCACTTCATCACCTCCGGGATGCTCCTCTAAAAACTTCGTGACGTCATAGACCTGAATAATTTGACCCCATCAGAGATACTGCTGAGAGGATTGTGGTTTGTACCATCTAAGCTTTCATAATGTCCTATAATTACTAAGGCTAATCGAGTTCTGTACCTATATGAGTGACTATCACAGAAGTCACGATGGATGCACTTATGCGGAGGCTACAACTCATTCCCATGATGGGTGGGATCTTCATTTCACTTCAAGGTACAGTGAGGCGTTTCCAATATCAAGAAGAAACAGAGACCTGTCCGCTCGTAATCGCACGGAGGTTCTAGGACCTGATATGAACAAGCTGAGTGCTAAATTATAGAGAGTAAAGACCCTGCAAACTTCAGAACCCGAGAACTCCTCCAACCCAAAAATCTAAGCAACGAAACTTGTGAGACCTGGCATGTAGACCTAGTGACAGGAAAAAAAGTCTGTATCTCGATCTGAGAAGAAAGAGAAAAAACAAACACATCCCCTTCAAACGTGAGCAAAAACAAGTAGCCCAAATTCCTTGGTATGTACTACACATCCCGAGATGTTGAAAAGATTCAGATCGGTGAGAAACCGCCGAATACCTTTCCATCAATCACGAGCCAACAATCTTTGTTGTTGTTGTGCTCAGAAACCTCAGCCAACGTGTACAGCTTGCCTTCTGACATGATGCCTTTTCTGCTCCACACAAAAGAACAAATTAAATAGCAGAACAGAAGATCACGAGTCAGCTTCCATATGATTTGATTTGCCCTATAGTCCCCTCCTCTGCACTCGCCTGATTCACAGCCCTCCCTCTCTCTCTCTCTCTCTCTCTCACACACACACACACATACACACGGCCAAAAAAACGAGCCCTACTCACAGGCCTGGAAAACCTTCAGATCACCATTGTCTAATCTATGAATCAAGAAGCGGATGGTCGAGTTGTTGACCTGTGTGAGCCGACTATTCTATGCCACGCTCTGTCTCTCTCCCTTTCCCTCGCACTCACTCTCGCACGAAGGCTGGCTCGAGCTCCGATCTGCCCGTCTGAATTACTCCACTCGCTCAACTCTCCTCTCGCTCACGACCTGCGCTCGAAGTGGCTCGAGAGAGAAAGGGCAAGTGCACGAGAGAAGAGCGTGGAACTTTTTGGAGCTCTCGGCGCTCGACGCTTCTGCTGGTGCTGCGGAGGCCAGGCGAGGGCTGCGCTGCGTTCTGCTGGTCTGTCAGTCTGCACACTCTGCACTTGGAGCTTTTCTTCTTCGTCCTCTTCGCTCAGTCCTCCTCGGAATCCGACCTTGCATCGGCACGGAGTCGTCGCAAACCTCCGGAGTCGGACGGTCACGGACGGACGGCCACGAACGATTTGACCATTTCGAAGACGGACAAGCGGCTACGGTGTAGAGTCGCGAAAACAGGGTCTACGTGTACGATTCCACTAAATTGGTGCAAATGTGGCCCTAAGAGGACCCTTCCAACGCCCTTTACATGTCTCAAGAGCGATCATTATTATACCGTGAATTTATACGAATTATTACTAAATCTGCCATCTTCATTATTATTCACCCTCAGGAATGATTGTCGTACTGTTCACTCGCCGTAGCTGCCACCGTCGACGTTGGCGTGTGCCAATCACACATCATTCCTCCCTTGCGATTGTCCTTCGTTTTCCACCTTGCGATCTCTCATCTCACGGTGATCTTCTCTTGAGAGAATCGTCAGCTCTCTTCCCGAAGGAAGATCAGGGTTGGTGAACTGGCCTCGGACACCGGAACCGGTTCGATGGGGCTTCAACCGGCAAGAAAAACACTCTTTCCCATCCGACACCCTTTTCCTCTTCGTGAAATACTTTCAAACAATGCGCGCATTTATTCCCCACGCAGTACTAAAGTACCGATATTGAGCTCTGTCTCTTTGTTGAAAAGGAAACATCATGTCTCACGCTCATCTTTCCCACCCTCTTGGAGTGACGACATAATCATTTCAGAATGGTCTTCCGTCTCTCGGAACATTTCTTTCCGTAGTATAACAAGTAATATTACAAAAAAACTATTAATTCTCTTTTATATAGATATATATATAGTCTTAGCTCTTTTTTCATAAGAATATAATTCGTTGTTTTTTCTCGTTTTTTTCAGTCCGAGACTTTCATCTGAAAATCATAAAAATATGTATAGCAAATAAACAATATAACGTAAATTTTAGTTTAATTTTGAATGAAAAATAATTTCGTTGTAAGCTAATGGAATTATTTTTTGATTTTCTTCATATTTTTCTGTTTATCTATGGACATGACTAATGAGCTATTTGATGAACCCCTCATAGATTCATGGATATTTGGCCCGATATCAACACATGAGATATGAACTCTATATTTTAAATTAAGATCGTCCGGGATCGTAGGAGGTGAATGATACGTAAATCATTGTTATACTGCAGGTAACTATCGTTTGGTTTCGGTTTGATTTCTTCCTTTGCTTGTAGGAGTTTTAGCATGTCTTTTGTTTATCCTTATCAATCTCATTACATATGGACTTACGTGTCTTATGATTGGGGTACGAACTCGTCTATTCTCTATATCTTAACTACTATATTTGATTAGTATATTTTGATATTTATGAATATTTTTTAAATTGGAAAAGTTTGATTTTTTTTAACTAATTGATCATACAATTCCTTGAAATAATAGGAAATGTCATTGCAATTTTTTAGTATTACCATGGAGGTAAAAGATTCATATTTTTGAAATGAGGGAAAAAATAATCTTTTTATGAAAATAATAATGCTGAATATCATCTTAAACTCAACATGAAAATCTATCATGAAAAATAAATATTTTTGAAAGCAAATTCAACGAAATTTCCTCATTTTTACAACGTAGCTTTTGAAATGATATTCTTCAATATATCATCAAATCATGTTTGAATATATAACACAATAATTTCAGTTTTTGGGCTACAAATGGTATTTAGAAATTAGCAAGGTTTGGTTCCTATCAATCTTCTATCATAAGTATTCACTAAAATTGATACTACTGCAGTAATGATATTTTTTTCAAGTATCAACAGGAGATATTTGAAACTCTTAAGTAAGCAAAATAATTGTGATATCATAGCAAGGAGAAATGCAAACGAAAATATGCAACCTTGTATTAAATTACAGATGTTTAAACTTTCATTCAGATTGCATTAAGAATATGATCAATCATCAAAAAAATTTCAACTTTTTTACCGTGATACTGCGTTTGAAGCAAATTTTTTCTTGAATTTTGAAATTATAATTTTATAAATTTTATATTCAGTTGTACTTTCGGTATGATTTTCTTTACATTTTTTTATGGAAAATTTTGTTCTCTTCTTTATGAAAATTTATCTCTCAGAAAAATGCATTGTGTAGAATAAGAAATACTGAAGTCAAATCCTAAGTGTGATATTGTGTTGATCAACTTCATTCATAAAATTCAAATGTGATATATAATAGAAATCACAAATTCTAAATTTTAATTATCTCTTTACCTATTTGCCATTCAGGTGAATGACTACCCAAACATTAAGGCGTTTACCAAATTTACTGTTTTAATATGACCATTGCAACATGTTTTCTTCATGGCACGTGTTGATACAGAATGGAATTAAACAACGCTGACACCGATTTGTAGTCTACCCTGTGATCTGAATTCTTCTTCAGTTGCTGATTACAAAAAACCCATCTTGTTGTACTCTACAAGAAAGCGTTAGATATGTACCCATACTGGATAACAGTAATTTGTAAAAAGGATATTAGAGAATTACGGATTTCACAAGCTTGTAATAGCCATCGATACGCAAGTCACACTTGAATAATTCTCACCTTATTTTCGATATCGAATAAATCGTTCTGAACTGTGATGCTCAAGGTGACGGAAAGCAATTTGCTTGTATTTCGTCTCCACCAATCAGAAAGCGGGAGGCAATAACATACACGGAACATTGGCAGTGTCTGGTCCCTCCGTGTTCGAATCGAGGACGAACAATCATCCGATGTGTATACTGTCGTTGAATAAATGCGCTTCGTGTCGTCTCAGGCATGAAACACGGACCTGGAATTCCGTTCAAGTCTACAAAACTTCAGGGGCCAAGGAGGATGTTGCTTCAGAGCAAAGCGGTTATGAGTGATGGTTGCTGATTGGTGCAGCGCAAGAACGAGGTTTGAATGTGAGAAGAGTTTTACAAGGGTTTCAAGGAGTACTGGAGGAAGTAAACGAGGCATTGTTGCTCTGATACCACATCAGAGTTGTTGTAGTTTCATGAGTCTGATTTTCAGCTGTTCACAGTCACTCTTACTGGATCAGGAAAGGGTTCTGTTGGGTATAAACAGAGGAGGGACACAATCTGTACACTTTATGTCCTTGGACTCAAATTTCCGTCTATATAGAGTTCGACCTCCGCCTGGTCACTTGTGATGAGTTCCAGTAAATGGGCACTTGGTTGAACAAGGTCTTTTTATGAAGCAGAGAGAGGGCATACCCACCCTGAGTATGTAAATGGAAGTTGTTGATCGTTTGAAGCCGCGGCAAAGTGAAGAGAAGTGTAGCAGGGCATTAAAGATTTCGTGGACGGGAATAGAGGATTTGTAGTGATGGTGCAAGGAGAGGAAATTGGAGCCGGGGCTTGCCAAGTGCAATGCGCCGGCCCTGGTTGCAGATGCATTCTGAGCGTTCCACGAGGAGTGCTGAACTTCCAATGTCCTCAGTGCAAGTTGCCCCAAGCTCTACCGCCCCTTCTGCATCCACGGGGAGTTGATACATCAAAGTTGCAGCTGCCTTGCGCGAATTGTCGATGCATTCTCAACGTTCCTCCCACTCTACGCCGGTTTGTTTGTCCTCAGTGCCGCGTTGAGCTTGCAGTAGATCCTCTCAAGTTGGCTGCATACCGAAGTTCACTTGCACACCTCAATCTTCTGTCTGGACAGGCCCCAGGGTTGTTGGATAGTGCTGTTGTTGGAGATGCACTAGACCCCGCTGCAGCTTGGGGTAGACTGCATGTCAAAGAGGAGGTGAACGAGGTCAGTTCACAATTTTGTTTCTTTGCTTGTCTATGTACTCATAAATGTAATCACACCAATAGCAATCACACCAACAGTTGACACCAACCATGTATTTGGATCATGATTCGAAAAGTAATGATTGTGACCTTAAATGATGAGAAGTTTTAACCATTCACATTCGCCATTTTGTTAAATTTCCACCTCTGCCAGTAATATGTGAGTGCATTCTTATAATAAGGGAACACATGCTTCATAATATCTTGCCACATTCTCATATATTTCCTTTGGCTGAGTGTGTGGAATCTCATCAACTGTTCTACTGTTGATGTAGTTTTCGTCGGTGGTATTAGTATGAAGGTTTTACACACTCTTGTGTTTGTAAATTTCTAGACTTGCAAGTTGGTTCCCATCGTCACTTGTATTCCGTTTCTCCAAATGCTTCATGTCTTCTTTTAATGGCCAATCGGTCCAGCTGCTCTAGATTTTTCAGTTGTCTCTTTCCTCTTGCATGTTGGGCTATCCTGGTGTCAGTAGCCTTCTGCTACCATCCCACACGATCCATACCTCTTCTCACGCTGTGCTATCCTTTTCCATCCACATTTGCAGAGGAAATTACCAAGCCTCCTGCAGATTTATCATCTTATTCAGTATACTTTATTGTTCATTGACTTTACGTAGGCTACCGATCACCACGTTCGAGTCCATCAAGTCCAAGTTACTTGTTCGTAATTGCTAAACTATGTAGTCCACCACATTTTGAAAGTGTAGTTGTTTTGCTGTTTCTTTCAGATATTCGATGCCTGATCACCTTGTCTATTGAGAGATTTCATAGAGCAGATGACATCAGAATCAAGGCAAAATTCTTGTGTAGCGAAACACATATTGTAGGAATATCCCAGTTCCAGTTGATCTTGTAAAGCCCTCCTTTCTTGTTTTTAAAATTCACTTTACGATATTTTAAAAAGACGTTTTCTCAAAATATACTCGGCATGAAACCTGTATACATATACATTTATCAACTCACTTGCATCTCTTTGGAAAATATTGCCTAAAGATTCAAAGTTATGTTTCAGTTTATCTTCTGACGTCTAGGTTCCAATCTCACTTTAGACCTTGCACAGAGTCCATACGTGTAGTTACGGTATTTATGCACATCAGCGACTTTGTTGGTACTATCACCTGTGAGTAATTCCGTACTAGAATGCATGGGATTGAAAATTTTATATATCAATATCTTACCTCAAAATAAAACTTCTCCTGTCCTGCTTACACCGTAAGATTGTTTCAGATCAGTTGTATGCACTGAATGTACGGTAGGGGTCTGTAATCTTAGGTAAACCTCTCATTAGTTTTGAGAAATTGAACTGAACTATCTTGCATACAATTCATTGGAATCAGGTTGCTCTCGAAGTGGAGCAAGAAGAGGATGAAGGAGGCACTGCTGGTGAAACCTTCACAGATTATGTGAGTACTTTTTATCTCTTTCCAGCCTATTCTTCAGTCTCATGAAGGCTAAAGTCTCTTAAGGCAGAATCGCTTGGCGAGAAGTACTGACATACTGACCCAGTTATATCAGAGAGGCGCTGATAATTACATAGTGTCACCGTATAGCTTTCCATCCATTTTGAAAGTAAGTCGTTCAATAATCTTCAGTGGATGTTTGTGCCTTTATTAAGGACGTGCATTGTCCGTGTCCTTTGTTCTCCATTTCGTCGTAAGGATTTCTTCTCTACGCCATGAACTACGAATACGCATGGTCTAACTGCTGGCATATTTTATTTCTGTATCAGCGGTAATAAATCCGTGTGCTGCAGATTCTCTAGTTATCGAACGACAGTTAAATTAGAGAAATACACCTCCTTGTCTATTTTAGTTTCCATATCTTTTGGGGTGAGAATGAGATTTATAAAGATGCTATGCTGGAAACACGTGGAAGGGCTCTCTACAAGTAATAGTAACTGCCCCCATCTACCTAGTGACCTGTGGCAATCCCGGCCTACCGAAGGTGCGAAGGTCTCGACCAACGGGAGCTAGAGCCTCAAATTCGATTCGGAATCGATCATTGAGCTCTGCAGTATATTATTATCGTCGAAACGCACTGTCTTCTCGTCAATGAAAGCGAGATCCAACCTCTGCACCACAGAATACATGCATATGCTTTTGTGTTATACATCGTTCACATCCGATGTTCAAGGTCACTAATGTCGCTCTCCTAGCGATGTGAATATTGCCACCGTAGGAGAGTTGACTATTCTCGAGTTCCCTTTTTATATCCTCGCAGGACATTCTGAGAACCAGTTGTGTTATCTTCTATGCAGCGACCCTCAAAGTTATCAATCGGTCCTCGACATCCAGATCCAATCGTAGAGACTTCATCTCTTTCAGCTGTTCAGCCTCCAGAGCCAATCTATACCCTCAAAATGGCTTCTGAGATTGAGCAGTCCGGAACTCTATCGTGTTTACAACTGGAGACAATTGTGTACGCTTCTCAGGTCTGAAAATTCTTACTTCTTTGCTTTGTATGTGAGCTATACTTCCAGGCTGTGACAAGCAAATGTCAGTGATGAAAGTTTTAGGTTTAGAATTCACTTCTCTGCCAAAGCAGCTCGTAGATTGACACGCTCACAAGCACTGAGAGAAAAGGGTGCCTTAATGAGATGATCATATGCAGAGGCACATGTATCACCTTGCGGATAACTCCAGAGCTGGTTTCTTCATCGGTGATGGAGCTGGCGTTGGAAAAGGTCGGACCATCGCAGGGCTTGTGTGGGAGAATTGGCAACAGGGAAGAAGAAAAGCTCTGTACGTTGCTCTACCTACGCTTTCAAATCTACTTCCCTTTAGGATTTTATTTCTTTGTCTCACTTTATCTGTTCCAAGGTGTTTTTCTGACTGTCATAGACGACAATTCTTGTCGCTTTTAGTCTAAGCAGTGGTCGACGATCACTACTTCCTTGCTTTGAATTCTGCTGGAAGAAACGAATAGGGCCTTTCAAACAATGTTTATTCAGATAGGGTACATTAGTTCTTTTACTGTTTCTTTTCTTATTACAACTTCTGGGGAGTGGTAGACTAAGAACCATCTTGTTACTTACAAGCCAGTATGCTAAATATGCTGCACTGCTGAGGGTATTTAACACGCTGAGCGTTGTTGATTTTACAGATGGTTATCAGTCGGCTCTGACTTGAAGTTTGATGCAAGGAGGGATTTAGATGACGTTGGTGCTAACTGTGTTGAAGGTATGTTCTGGAAGGCTGTTTTTGTGGATGATTTTTGAAATCCAGGAATGCCGTAAGGTGTTTTTAAGTCTCATTAAACTCGAAGATGAGTGCTAATGGATCATCATAGTCATTAGCTGGTTGAGTTGGTTCTCATAAAGCGTTCACAACTGTGGTAGGTTGTGGAACCTACTCCCGGAACATGCTGCTGGATTGTGCTGAAAAATTAGAAATTTGGCACATTTTGTCCACGACGATAAGCATCTGGGTTGCTTTTGACGTGTTCAAATTGCGTATATCCACTATGTACAATTGTTACGCTACGTTGGTAGACGCCTGGACGATTGCTTTCTTGTTGTTACATAACTTCGTCTATTACTTTTTCTGTAAACAGTAGTCTTTTGCCAAGAAGTGGTATTGCAACTCTAATTTCTCATGGATTATGAATAATATGTAACTTTCTTTCACCACACTTCACGTTTGCCTTTATATCGGACATGGAGTCAAATATGACGAAATGTGAAGATAAGGCATCCGACTAGCAGAGATAAAGTGATACCCCACGTGACCCTTCATATTTGAGATATTTCCATTACCACGAAGAATAAGTTGGAATTTCCACGTAATGAAAGTCGGTGAGAAGGGGCACAAACAGGTTAAGGTATCACAAAAGTTCTGTTGGTGATATGGTGGTTCCGTCGGTGATGGCTCAGAAAGATTCGAACTAAACGTCTCGTTGTTTTCATACTGCACTACCCACATCAGAATATTGAGCTGCGGTTTGGAATGGTGACAACATTTAAACGAGCTGATTTGTAGGAAGAAATAGAGCTGAGGGCCTTTCGCTCCATGGTCGGGGATCCCACTCTGCAGCCCCGGTAGGAGACAGATCTTACATCGGAGAAATTTGGCTTTTTGAAGCTCTCTGTCGGAAGTTGACAGGACGTTCAGACCGTGTACCTTCTTACTCGGATATCATTTACGTTCAAGCTTTCCTCTTTTCATATACATAAACAAGTCACGTCTGCTACCAGTTTGTTTTCGAATTATCTCGCATATCTTTGTTAATTTCTAAATAATGTGTGTAGAAAAGCCGTAAGAAATTTATTCTATTGCATAATCACTACGTTAATTTCTAAGAGGAAAAGCTCCAAGAGAGTCCTTCGGTTGCACATTAGTGGATGGACTGCAGAGTCAACAATGCTTATTCTTTTCTGTTGCTCTCTGCTCTTACTGTTCCTCTGCAGGATGTGATATATTTTGTTTGTTCTGCTCTTTTAGCTACTATATTTTGCTATTATGGTCTCTTTAGGAAAAATCATAGGAGGTTATTTAATACACACCAGTGTTTGTTGTATCATTATTGATTTGGTGGAAAGTGCCAACATAATTCCTCGATTGCAGCTTTAATTGCGAAATGAATAAATGCGAATGGAATTGAGAATTCCCAGAATTAAGAATGAGAATTGACAATTCCTAAGATGGTGACATATACAATTTAGAATTTGTAGTGTTCGTCTGTAAATATACTTGTTTAGTGACTTTGTGTGGAGCAGATCAAACAGTAACAACTAAAAAAACACTTTTATTTGTTGTAGTTCATGCTCTGAACAAACTCCCATATGCGAAGCTCGACTCAAAACAGGTCGGAGTGAGGGAAGGAGTATTATTCTTGACGTACAGCAGCCTAATTGCATCGTCAGAGAAGGGAAAGTCCCGCCTGCAGCAGTTGGTGTCGTGGTGTGGTACCAATTTTGAAGGACTTCTGGTTTTTGACGAGGTTTCACGTTTGAACCATCGCATTGGCAATTGCATATCTCAGTGTCAGTCAAGCTTACAACATTTGTTGAATCTATGTTATTCATAATTGCCAAAATTTTCTGTACGGACATCATCGTTTGAGTCCTTGACCATTTTGATTCGAAATTCTGTGACATTTTATATGTGGTTATTTTTTGTCATGATTAACATCTTGTAGTCAATTTCTCATTGATTGATTGCATTTCATACCTGAATGTGCAGTGTCATAAAGCTAAAAATTTGATCCCCGAGGCTGGAGGACAGGCCACTCGTACTGGAGAGGCTGTGTTGGAGCTGCAAGTAAGTTTTTCGAATTTGGTTTTGTCAGATGTTGATGTAATGGAGCGATACATGTCGTTCCGTTCTTCGTACGACTGTTTCTTTTTCATTTCTTCACGTTCGTGTGTAAAAGAACAAAAGATATATGTTCAGCGTGTACGTTCGTTCGTTTCTTTACAGTTCAGTTCTCCTTGCTGACCTCTGTCTTTTAACATATGAACTAGCTCTTCGAATTGGTTGTTGTCACCGTAGGTGTGGTGATTCTTATTCTCATCTACTTCCTTTTTTTGTCTATATCACGGATAATGAATGTCTCGCCTTATCAGATGTAGTAGCATGCTGCAAATATTGTTTGTCAACTAGGAATTTCATTTATTTGCCTGGACTTCTTACATTTGGCAAGATTGCAATGTTGCTCTTTGAGTGTGCCCTGGAAATTTATCAAGAGTCTTTCTGGTTGTTCCATGTAAGTTTTTGGAGTAGTCGTTTTCTCCCAACAGCTTTGATGGTTTTTCCATGTAATTTTCCATTGATGTTTCATGGAACTCAGACTTCTCGAATGCTTGGTCTTGTGGTTGATTTGTGCTATCTCAGTATGTCTTTGTGTTTCAAAACTTGCAAAACCTAGATGTATCTATTGTTCCGACATATGTTAGCTACATCCGTCTTCAGCTGGTCCTTTAATGTATTGCTCTATTCTTTCTGGTTCGTTATATTCATTGTGATACCGTATTAGCAAGATATGCGTTTTGTATATTGAACTTATCGGGCGTTGTTTGTTGTGGCAGACACGATTATCTGATGCACGTGTTGTGTACTGCTCAGCGACTGGAGCATCAGAGCCCCGCAATATGGGATACATGGCCCGCCTTGGTTTATGGGGACCTGGAACTGATTTCCCCCATTTCCAAGCGTTTCTTGGTTTGTACCTGGACAATTCAACGTGAATTTTTGGACTATTGTATTAATCGATTTCCTTGAGAACAGAATATAATAGGAAATCGTGTCGAGATGATCATTTTTTGCAGACTGATCAGACCTTCATAGAAAGGGGCGGCGCACATAAGTTACAGAATGCTGGCCAATTTATCACTAACTGCGACCTCAATGTCAGATTTGTGGTTATAATGCTTGGGTGCTCAGTTATTTATTTTCATGTTAAAAGAAGGTTGGGTTTAGTTTGAACTTCCAGAATGTACGTACTACTTTGTATAAGGTGAGATCAGGTGACGAGCACATTTTTTAGTTCTTGGCTGAAGTGACTATTGTTTGATTTAAGTTGGCAGTGGCACTTGAAAAGCGTGGAGTAGGAGCATTAGAGCTTGTTGCGATGGACATGAAGGCTAGGTGAGCATTTGATACATAACCTCTTCTTTTTAACACCTTTCGATATCGAGGAATCTAAGAGATACTAGAGTTTTTTTCTCTATCTAAGTTATGAGGTCTTTGGATTAATAAGGTAACTGGATAGACATAATCTCAAAAGTAGGAGTGACATCTTTTCTGCTTCAGAAAGGTATTTTAGTCGGAGGCGCTGTGTTTAAGGGACCTTTTGTGCTGTCTATCTACATTCTTCCTGTTTCACTTGTGGTTGAAATCACTTCAAATAATCATAGGTGTGTGGTGTGTCACGACCGTTTATAAAATGTGCACTAGGCATCCCAACTCTGGATAACTGCGGGCTTTTTTCTCTTTTACAACCGTCATATTTAACCTGGGGACGAGGAATGCAGCTTCAACAAGCGACCCTCCCACTTGGTTCACTTGTTAACCCCCTATTCTGCCCTTTTAACCTAGGTTCCCTTAATCAGATCATAGAATAGAATTGAGCTTATCCCATCGTAATAAAAAAGGTTTTCAACCTAGCGTCCTTAAGACATCGAATTTGCCCAGGGCGCCATTGATTTATTAGAGATATTCGTGACAAATGTCTCTTCAATCAAGCCACGTGAAACATCGCATTCGGCGCTGATCAGACTTGGTATTTTCGTATTGTATGTAGTCCTTGCTCCGTTGTGGTGAATGTTTCTGGAAAGATACTTGGTGATTCGTATATAAACTGTATTCATTAGTATTTGCCTTTCCTAGGCCGAGTTACATGTACTCCAAGTCCTAGCCGACCGGTGCTAGTGAGAAATATTGAAGAAGAAGAAGCGAGGAGGGTTCAAGAGAAATGATAGATAGTTCTGGTTGAGAGTTTGGAGGATGTCATGTGTTATTGTCATGTGTTCCTATGGATAAGTTTGTTCTAGTTCAAGCATGACAGGCGAAACATCATAGTTTCTTTCTATGTTTTTGATTGGTAAACAGCTTTGAGAATTCTCGATTGCACATTCCAGTTCGTAGGATATGGAGTCCCTTGCCTTAGGTGGAGGATTTATATAAATTCTGGAATAGGCATTCTGGAGGATTCATAAATTCTGGCATTCAGAGCACACATTTCCAGAATTTATCGCATGTATCGTACATCTACAGAAGATAGATGTACAAAAAGGCATTCACAAGTTATGATGATGTTCTTCGTCCGAATCTGAGAGCTTATAGTTCATAACAAATAATTCATAACTTGTGAATACCTTTTTGTACATCTATCTTAATAAATTTGGCTTTCTTATGTAAAAGGAGAAGAGATACATATTGAAAAGAAGCTCTGGTCATGCAGGGGTATGTACTTGTGCAGAACACTGAGTTTTAAAAGTGCAGAGTTTGCCATTGACGAGGTTCCATTGGAATCAAATATGAAGGTTTGAACAGCTTTCTCAGACAGAGCTTTCATTTGGAGATTTGTCGTGTAACGCATACGCATACGTGCAAACGCATTCTTTGACCGCTGCTAGGACTCATCTTTGATGCTTCTCTTTTATCTGGTTCAAGAAAATGTACTTCACTGCAACGCAATTTTGGAACGAGCTGCGGACGGAGTTAATGGTTGCTTTAGAGGCTGTCCAAGATAGAAGGCCAAATCAAAATCAACTTTGGCGCCTATATTGGGCCAATCATCAGGTGGACTCTGCTTAACATTTATTGTAATTATGCATTATATACAGTTTTGTTCCTTCTTTATGTCTATTTTCATGTCTATTCAGATTTTTTCTTGTGTACTTCATACTTTCCTATTTTATTTTTTTGAGACTGCAAACTTGCTTTACAACTACGAGGGTCAAGTCAGTATGGAGCTCTGGCTCCATACTGACTTGACCCTGGTAGTTGATTTGTTTTAATACCATCAATTTGTCAACTTTTTGTAAACTAGTTCCACCTGTCTTTCTCGTTAACCTGGTTGCATATTGCGAATCCCACTTCTCAGTATCTTCCCATCTGCCACTCGTGTATCACCTACCTTTTCCAGGAAGGGGTTTGGTTGATGATGGCAATGTCACTAACCTACTACAAATTCCATTGTCATCTCCAAAGTTTTACAGCTCCAACTCCCCATGCACCCTGTCATCCTTGCCCTTACTTCTTGCACTTCTTGTTTCCCTACACATATGACGTGCTTCAGTTTGTACGTTTTACTCACCTTATACTTATTGTCAAGTAGGTTTGTTGGATTTTTACCACTTAAGCCTGCGTCAAGTCTATGTCAAACCTTGGCCACAATTGATGAGCTGTTCGAACTCAGTTGTCGTATGAACTGTCTTTTGAATTTTGCCTAGGCTAGAAGAACAAAGAGAGGTGTATCCTGAAAAGGACACGTTTAACGGCTTAGAATTCTAGATCGGTTTTCAGGGTTTTGTTGTTAGTTTGCTTGCAATATCGTTTGATCATGCGTAGTCTTCCTCCTGGTGCCGATATAGTTCGTTTACAGTTTCTTGTGCACTAACAGTTGCAAAGGTCGTTACTTGCAGCGCTTTTTCCGACATATATGCATGTCAGCCAAAGTACCTGCCGCTGTCAGATTGGCGAAGCAAGCTCTTCTAGAAGGAAAATGTGTTGTCATCGGTCTGCAGAGTACAGGGGAAGCTCGCACTGAAGAGGCTGTGAACAAATATGTGTGTTCTTCTGTCCCGCTTCTGAAAAGATAGAACAAAAGAGCAGTCTAGGAATTTTAGGAACATCTATTGACCTTAAATATTTCTGTCGTCAATTTTTTGCTAACGCCTCTGTAGGTTATCTTGGTCAAGTTACCATATATTGAGGATTATTGCTGTGTTTTTAAATCAAATAGGAGTTCTTTTTTCTTGAGGGTCTGAAGTTTGTAGCAGGCAACGCTAGTGATAACCTGTGATGTTGTTGAGCAGGGAGTTGAGCTTGATGATTTTGTCTCAGGACCAAGAGAATTGCTGCTGAAACTTGTAGACGAGCACTATCCTCTCCCACCAGAACCCAAAACTCTGCAAGGTCATAAATCGACAGCACTAACTACTTGAGTTCATTGTTGGGTAGAGTCCCTTTCTCTGGAAAGAAGGTCGCTGTATATTTGTGATTGAGAAAACATAGTCGTGCTTTTTGAGCTGTATCAGACGATGAGATCTTCAAAGGAGAGAGTCGGAAGCGACCTTTTTCTAGCATCGTAAATGTTCCTGGAAGAGGACGATCGAAGAAGTCGGCTATACCCATCGGGAGTGACGAGGATGGTGACGAGGACGATGAAAGTAAGTCAAATTACGTTTTAACGTGAAAAGACAGCGTGGTTAGTCAGAAAAAGTCACTAGAGAAGATATTTTACATCCTAAGTTGTACGGGACACGATGTTAGAATCGTGAGATTCTCCGTATTTTACTCGTTCCAGTGACAGTGATTGGTACAGAAAATCTAAGCGCCGAGGAGTTGGATATTACTGTTCCGTTATAAACACGTTTTAAGATCGTTGAGATTTACCCTCAACACATTTTTTCGTGTGTTAATTTTCAGCAAAGGTTTCAGTACAATTACGCTACTCATGCTTGTCCGCACATATATTATTCTATTCTTACGCTGTATTTCTCCTCAAATTTGAAAAAGTTGAGTTGCATTGGTTGGCGATGCTTCGTCCGATACCTAGTTAATTTTTCATCCCTTGTGTCTAGCTGAATCTGATGGAGAGTCAACAGAAATCGATGATGATTTCAAAGTTTGCAGTATCTGCTCAAGTGAAGATGTAAGTTCCCACCCCCCTTTCTGATTGTAACCACCCTGTTGGCCCTCGACTTTTATGATCATGCTCTGCGCTTATGTCTCAGCAATACTGTTCAGTTTGTGTTCCGATCAGGCTTGAAATTCATGTCGTTTTGAAGTGTTTTCATGCATATTTCCGGGTTTGTGCTGATTTCCTCTTTTCTCGGCTTAGCCATCCCTGAGGGCCCTTGCCTTCATCTCTTAAAGAAAGATCTGTCCTGCGGCTGAAATCATTTCGAAGTCTGGACTGAGGGATCAACGTAGTTTGCATCTGGTCCAGTTATACAGGTTGTTAGGGAATAATATTATCTCCTGTGGATGGAACAGGCGTCACAACAATTGGTGGAATGTTGTCTATGCTTGCGAGTTACACATACTGGCTGTCACGCTCCTCCAGTTACTGAGGTACCCAGAAACAAGCGTTGGCACTGCTTTGACTGCAGCAAGGAGTTGAATGAAATTCAACAAGAACGCCGACTTTTTATTGCAGACCAGTTCCAAAGGTATGTAAACAAGCGCATACTAGAGGCAAGATCAATGCAGAGCTTCAAAAAGTTCATGACGCATAGACCTAAATGGCGAAGTTACCCTATCGGAGCAGGTTTGAGGCAGCCAAGGAGAGAAGGACAAAGGTTATGGAGGTGATTCGGGGGCTAGATTTACCAAATAATCCATTGGATGACATCATTGATCAGGTGGGTATGTAGAAGCTAGTAAGATGACATGATTGATTCTAATGTATGGCTTGCTTTGTTTGAAGGTATATCAAGATAGACCTTGCCATGGATTGTCACAATGTGATTTCCATAGTTTTAGTTTTGAGAGTATGCATCCTTTACTAGCTTCTTGTCAACAATCTTCAGATCTTTTTTTAAAAAAATATCGTTCACCTACTTGTGATGATGAAGTTGTTCCGCTTATCGATATCTATTCGCCACAATCTTTCCTTTTGCTGACTCTGATGCCTCTCCCTCCCAAATCAGGCAAATAGTTCATAAGTACTTTTAATGTGCTTAGGCTACCTGGAGCTTACGGTTACATACCCTTGTTTTTGCAGCTGGGGGGTCCTGATTGTGTTGCAGAAATGACAGGCCGGAGGGGCATGCTTGTGCGTGCGGCAAATGGGAAAGGGGTTATTTACCAAGCACGCAATACGTACGGAACCTACCAAAGCTAGATTGGCTCGGTGTGTAGTATTGCGATAGAAATATACAGTGCTGACAAAAAGAGACGCTAGCTGGTCTCATACCAGATGCTTTAGCTTTCCTTCCTTGGAATCGTCTAACGTGGACGTTCATGTCTGCTCCAGCTGATCTGCGTGTCCATTCTCTGCAGCAAGGATGTAACAATGGAGATGATAAATATGCATGAAAAACAGCAATTTATGGACGGAAAGAAACTCGTCGCAGTAATCTCGGAAGCTGCCTCTGCTGGTGTATCCTTGCAAGCTGACAGGCGCGCTCTGAATCAGGTGGGTTTTAATGTTATTTTTCCCCTTCTTGAGCAGCTGGTTATCAAAATGTGGATATTATTTTACACAGGCAGCGGAAGACAAATCAGGAAATAGTGAGCACAGAGCAACGGCTGGATTTTTATATACGAGAGACTACGAACAGTGGTGCAGGATCGTCGCTGCCAAAGATAACGCTGTCCTTTTGTCTGCAGAAAAGAAGAGTGCATATTACCTTAGAGCTTCCATGGAGTGCGGATCGTGCAATTCAACAATTTGGTAGAACTCACCGCTCCAACCAAGCTACTGCTCCTCAATATCGGTTGGTGTTCTTCTCTCCATCCAATTTGCTATAGTGTGAGTTGCGGCGAAATATAGATCATCATGGTTATAAAGCTTGATCCGGGAGGCTGTTTAGTTCTGCAATGCTAAAAGCTTAGCCTGAAATGCTTGAAGTACTCTAGATCTCTGTTAATTCTCTGCTAGCATTTGTTCACTCCCACTTCATGAACAAAGTCTAATATATTTGACTCTTAGCCTTCTGATTCTTTTTTTCGGAAGATTATTGTAGTTTGGACGAAAGTAACGTGGTTTTCTGCTCTTAACCTATACACAGGCTACTGTTCACCAATCTTGGTGGTGAACGACGATTTGCTTCAATTGTTGCGAAACGATTGGAGACTTTGGGTGCTTTGACTCAGGGTGACCGTAGGTAGGTAAACGTGAAGAAAGTTTGCTCAATTGCAAGTGGCTCTCTGTTTGGGTACGTGCTAGATAATTGAGTTCAGTGCTCCTTGGAAATCAGTAGGTTCTTTTAAGTATTTGCTCAAGGTTTTGAACGTTCATACTGCAGGGCAGGAGCTGGTCAGTCCCTCAGTGCCTACAACTATGACAGCGGCTATGGGAAGAAAGCGCTGGCTATGATGTACAAAGCTGTTCTGGAGCAGGTTGATCTTTTTATTTTTTTCTTTTCTTTATTATGCTCTTATTTTACGCTCTCAGTATCTTCTAGCCGTAGTTTAGTGCTAAAGAATTAATTCTTCATAGCCTTCTTGGCTTTGCAGCTAGAACCTCCCGTACCTCCTCCAACTAAGAACGGAGAATCAGACAAAGATTTCTACTTGTTCGCAAGGGCAGCCCTCCTATGCGTCGGAATCATCCGAGATGCTCAAGGTGAAAACGCCGATTCTTTTGTTCAGCTGGAGGGTTGTTCAATGTGCTGACTTACGCACCTTAACCCTTATCTTGTTTTATGAGTGAACGTTGATTCTTAATTGATAGTTGTAGGATATTTATCATTGTATGTTTCATGATGCTAAAATGACCAACGTAGACTGTTGCTAGTGTGTTAGCGAGGATTTTTCGGCTTGAACGACTATATGTTGTTGTCAAAGTTCAGGACAATATCTTGATTAGTAAAAGTTTTTTCACTTTCTTGGGCAGCTGGTCAGTTCAATCCTGGGAGTAAGGCCTCCTTTAAAGGCATGGGGCGTATTACTGAAGCGGATCTGCATGATGTCGGGCGATTCTTGAATCGAGTTCTTGGCTTAGAACCGGGCTTTCAAAACCGGTAAAATTCTGTTGTACATTGATTCTCGCTTTTTCATATTATAGATATTTCATAATCTAGTGTGATCCAACTTTGGTATAACAGAATGACATGTCTCAGGCTGACGACCTGAGGGTTTTCAGCCTGAGACCCGAACACGGGTCTGATTCGAGCGAGACACCTGTGCTATCCAGAGAGAGCCGGTATCGTTAGGTTTGATTCTTAGTCATTACAGCCTAGTTCCTGTCTGCCTAGATTTGAGCTGGACAAACATTCTAGATCAAGAGAGATGTCTTTTCGTTTGTCTGATTAGCTATATTATCTCTTGCAATTCGTCTCTTAATGCTGTTATTCGCTCCCATGACACGATTGCGCAGTCTCTTCGAGTTCTTCGTGAATATTTTTGACGATCTTGTTCAAGGGGCTCGAAAAGATGGACAGTTCGATTCTGGGATTGTGGACATACGAGCCAATTCTATTGAATTGCAAGAAGAGCCCAAAGTATGTACTTATCTGATTCTCTCTCCTTATTATATATTCCAGTAATTCTTCTCTCATTGCATGAGCATCCGTGGTTGTCCTCCTTAACGTCCTTCTTGTCCTCCTCCTTTGACAAGAACTCTTCTGCATTTCTTTTTTTGTACAGCCTTCTATGATCTCTAAATTGTGTGTGATTGATTGGTGGAACAGCCAGTCCATAGGGATCCTATGTCTGGAGCTCTTACGACGCTCTTTTTACTCAAAGTTGATAAAGGATTCACTTATGAGGTAAATTTCAAACGATAATGCGTTCAAATCAAAGAACACTGATGTTCATCCATATGTGCATCTAATGCTGAATCCCTCCTGCTCATTTCAGGATGCGAATCAGCTTTTGGAACAAAACTCTAGGGAGGATGACAAGTCCGAGAATGGATTCTATCAGTCAAAGAGAGAATGGCAAGGAAGAACACATTGTCTTCTTGCTATTGAGAAGTAAGAAGTCTCATCATTAGTCTCAACCTCTGTCTTCGCTTCTATTTGTCTTACAGGTTGTTGGGAGGCTGCAGGAATAAGGTAGATGATCCTAACAAGTTGGAATCTGATGTTGGCTTGTGTTTACAGATCTGGATCAATCTCCCACAGTTTTAGAATCTTCCGGCCAGCAAGTGGCGAAGCTGCGAGGTTTCTTTTGCTCTGGATTCATTTGCAAATGTCGAGGCCTGATTATCTAACGTCTTCATTTTGTTCTGAGAAGCGACACTTGTAGCTTAGCAACGAGTTTCTCAGTGGACCGCACCTCATCGTTTGCAGGGAAATGTCACTGACCGAGCTTAGAACGAAGTACAGCAAATTCTCATCGCTCGCACAAGCCAAGGAAGGATGGTTGAAAGACTACACACTGTCAGCAGATCAGGTAAGAACACCTGCCTTCAAATCGAATTTTGTCTGCCAAAGAAACCATGGAAGCTCTTCATTACAAGTTAATCTTTGCATACGGCATGTATGTAGTGTATGCACGGGCCGAAGTGCAAGATAGGCAGCATCTGCACTGTGGGCAGAAGAATACAGCAAATGAATATCTTAGGGGGTCTCATACTACCTGTATGGGGAGCTGTTGAGAAGGCCCTATCTAAGCAGGTATGTCTTTTACTATCTAATTAATTTTATTGAAATATTGGTTGTAGCCTCTGTTTGAATCCATTGCCGTGCCTATTTGTCTTTCAGGTCCTGAGGTTTCGTTTATCTTAGTTCTTTGTAAGCACTACATGAGGTGATTGAGCTGCCACGCTTGGAGATGGAAACCTTATTCATTTGACTTGATCTGATTAGGTTCTATATTTCTTTGTGAATGAAGGTTCGGACTAGTCATAGAAAACTCCGTGTTGTTCGTCTGGAGACGACGAATGACAGTAAACGAATCGTGGGGCTGCATATTCCAAACCCAGCAGTGAGCACCGTGTTGTCTGGTAAGACTACGACTCTGAAGTTTCACTCAAGATTGTTCCCCGGTTGGTTCTCCGACAAAAAAGGAGTTGTAATATCACATAATCTGTCCAGCTGTGTGGGTACTGTGGACAGCCAAACTGAGGTTACTGTCAGAGTTTGTTCACTTCACTGAAACATAAGATGTCCCTCGATCACATAGCACATGAGCAAGTGGATTATATGATTTCGAAGTTGCACGAAAGCAATTGTTGACGTTGGTGATTGGGATTTATTGCAGGTCTCAATGGAACACATTACAAACCAGCAACACCAGAAGTCCTGGCATTGGAGTACCAGCCAACCTCTTAGCTCTTATTGTACCATATACGCTCCTGGTGAACACTCGAAGTAGAATGTATAGTGAATTTTGAATGCAGACCACCAAATTCGATGCGGGAGAGTAGTTTAGAACAGCAAGGAACAAGAACTAACCACATTCATTTACGTCGTTGGTTTGTCACTTACATCTGGATTAGATCAAATGATGTAGATTGTCAGGCAGATGAGGGTAGGAAAGAGTTTAGATGATAGAAAATTAGTGAACCAGTTTCACTGAGAGGTCCTCATGGCCATAATATATGAATTTTTTGCGGAGGAGCTCGTGAAATTCTGTCTTCCCATATTTTAACCACGTGAAGTAGATCCCCAAGTTTACACCACTAAGGATAGAATTACTGTTTGTGTTATATTATTATTGTTCCAACTTGGAACGTCGTGTACTTTGAACCTTAGGTTGAAGGTTCAAAGTTACGGGAGTGTGCGGCACGGATTGCGGCTCAAACCATCAGCGACTTGGTTTAACTGCCCGTCTTGGTTGAATTGAACTCACACTCTTGAAGTATCAAAGCCCACCTAGCAAGCTTGTCATTCTCCATTAACTGCTTCACTGGCTGATGGTTTGCGATGAGCGTGAATGGATTCCCAAACAGATGACACCTTAAATGGGTTACCTTCCACACTACAGCCAAACATTCACCTTCATAGTAATCGTACTTTGACTCTGAAGCATTGTTAGAACGGCTAGGTTTTGCCACAACAAATTCCTTTCCCACATCATCAAACTGGGTGAGCAATGCTACCAACCCAAGCATACTCCAATGACTATGCAATTGGAATTGCTGCACTCGAATAGATCTTCGCAAAATAGGGTTCGGAAATAGCTTGTTCTTGAGTTTTTGGAATACCCATGGCTTCTCAACAGAATCCTCTTACACACTTTAGATAATTGTTTCCCAACCCCATAATAGTATTTTGCGATATCCACTAATGCGCGGACTCGGGTCTCATTAGTAGGCCATGGGATTTTTCTAATAGCCCTCTACCTTCGTTTGTTGAACCCCCAAGCCGGGCAGTTATTATATATTTATATATATAAATCAATTTCATAGCGAACAAACTAGTTAATTGATCGTAGTGAAAACACAACCACGTTATAAAACTAATCTACAAATTTTAGTGCTATGACATCTATTCAAAAGAAGTTTGTCACGAGAATGCACAAGCAATAGTTCACATGCAGACACACAATGCGGACACGAGAATAAGTGGTTTGCTGTTGCTAGGTTACGTCCACAGAAATCAAAAGGCTTTATTGAATTTAAACCTGAAAATGTTAAAAAAAACTTTGAACATTATTATTACTTTTAGTATTGTATCCTAAATCTTATCCAATCTAGAGTTAAGCTATTGAGATTTAGTTTAGATCGGAGTTAATAGTAATTCATTGCATTTTAATATCATACTCATCAAGAATTAATGGCTTCTAAATTTATTTTCTAAAACCATATCTTTTATTTAGAACTAGATGATAATCTCACATATTTTATCAAAAATTTTATTTTTTACATATATATCTTCATGTTTGCAATAAGAATAAAACATTTTAATGTCTTAAAAAATATTAATATTATTATAGAAAAATCAACATGTAACAAAAAACTCAACAAATCATGATTAGAAAATGATGTTTAATAAATCATGAAATCAATTTTATATATTGTATATATTAAAATATTTTAAATTTTTAGTCTTTAAACTCTATTAAATTTTATTTCCAAATTTTTTCACAGTTTTTTTGACAAATTAACATTCAAAAAGTGTAAAATTTATAAAATAATAAACAAAAAAATAAAAAAATTTGTGACTGAACTCAACAACATTGAATCAAACATAACATTTTACAAAAGATTTATAATTTCAAGGAGTTTAGGTTTCAAAGAGATACCATAAATTCTATCATATACACGTAACTAATTAATTAAAATAAAATAAATAGATTAAATTAAATTTTATCAAGATAAAAATTAATTTTTATTTTGATTTATGTCTTGAATAATATATTATGATTCAGTCAAGTAAAAAATGTTCAATGTGTGCTTAACAGGTTTAACATGAAAAAATTTAGAAAAAATTGGATTTCTTTAATAACAAACAAGTTTTTGTAAGTTGAACAGTAAGTTGCAATAAAAAATTTTGCAGCTCAATATTCCATTAATACTATTGAAAGAGAAAGATGTGATCAATTTTCAAAGACAAAGTTGTGAGTAGTTTCATGGATCTGATGATGTAAACAAAAACATAATATTGCTCTAGCTATGGATCAAGTTATCAATTAAATATCAAATTCAAGTAAGTTGCATTGAAAAGCAAAGAACTGGATTTTCATTTTCTTAAAGAATATTAAAGATTATGATATATTTTTTGATGAAATAAAATCTTTTAATATATTAGGCTTAGCGTAATGGCTCATAATATATGATCCCCTCCAACCGAAGACACTAAGTTCTATTTGGACGTGTATACGAACTGCCATACTTACTCATCACTTGATTGGTTTCACTCATCAAGACTTTAAGAGAAGGTGGGAACAAAAAAAAATAGAAACTACCTTGTTGTCTATTATGGACAAGATCTGGACACGATTAAATCTACAAGTTGATATGTATTTTCATTTGATGGTGGATGAAATAGTTGGAAATTTACTTTGGAAAAGTGCATCGTTCAATCCACAACAGAAGTTGAGTATGTAATAATAGCAAAGAAAGCTATTTGATTGAATAAACTTATCATTTCAATCTTATTAAAACATGAGATCATCAATATTCATTGTGATAATCAAAGTGTGTTACATCTTGCTGCAAATTGAATAATGAATAAAAAAGTGAAATTCATTAATATCATGTATAAATTTATTAAAGATGCAGTGTCTGATAAAAAAATCAAATAAAAAAACTCACTTCAATTTGATATGCTGATCCAATTTAGAATTCATTGTGCTATTATGCAAGTTTTGCATGAAAACACACATAAAATCTACTAGCAATTTTTGTTGAATCCATATAATTTAATGTAGTTTAGACTACTTTGGCTACATCTTTTAAACTTTTTGCAGTTAAATATCATTGAAAAGAAAAAAATGTCATCAATCTTTTTTTTGACAAAGGAGTATACAACTTGTTACATTTGATGAATTACATGATAACTCTTTGGCTATGGCCAAGTTGAGCACATACATGTTAAATCTAGAGAAGATACGTTGAAAAGCAATGAAGTGAAATCTCAAGATTACAAGATCTCAAGATTATTATTGATTATGATATTTTGTTTGCTAACTTATTTAACAATCTCAAATCCTTGTTATGATACAATGATGTTGATTATAGACAAGAGATAATTTACAGCTGGATGTGTGTGTACACTTGATGTTGAATGTATTAGTTGAAGATCTACTATTTTAAATAGTTGAATATATCTAAAGACATATAGTAAGTTACTTGTTTGAATGAATTTATCAATAAAATGAGATTGCAAAAAAAGTTTGTAAATCTTCATTTTGATAATCACAAAATATTATATATCGATGCAATTCAAATGATGAACTACAAATTAAACTAAATTCACAATAGAATATCAATTTATCATATATGTAATTTTTAATGAAATGATTAAGCTAATCAAGATTGACAATAAATTTAACCGAGCTAATGTGTTAATCAAAGGGTAAATTTTGAAGAGTTTTATGAAATCTTGTGTCACTTTGCAATTTTTTGTTAGAAGTTTGAGCTAATCAAGATTGACAATTTAATCAATCCAGTTGATGAATTGATCAGATGTATTTTTTAATGGTTTTTAATATACATTGCGTACTTTGCAACTTATTATTAAAGTTTGAGCTAATCAAGATTGACAATCTAATCAATCCAGTTGATGAATTGATCAGATGTATTTTTTAATGGTTTTGAATATACATTGCGTACTTTGCAATTTTTTACTAAAATTTTGAGATAATCAAGATTGACAATTTAATCAACCCAGTTGATGAATTGATGAGATGTATTTTTTAATGGTTTTTAATATACATTGCGTACTTTGCAATTTTTTATTAAAAGTTTGAGCTAATCAAGATTGACAATTTAATCAATCCAGTTGATAAATTGATCAGATTTTTTTTTAATGATTTTTAAATATACAATATTATGTTACATACATATATATTTTACTCTATCAGGTTTTGGTTATAACTCAGTTTTATTTAACTCTAGTTTAAAGAGTGTTCTATGTTAGATTGTTTTCTAAAACTTTTGCATGGTAATTTTATAGGCTATTAGTTATATAGATTATGAAAGTTACAATTCTATGACATGAATTAAAAAAGAGATTGTTATTCATGCTTTTTAAACTCAAAATAGAATAAGTAAAGCTCTTAATTTCACCTTTTAGGATTTCTTACTAAGTCTGAAGTGATCCAAGAAAGTAATCTGCATTGATTAATCACATATAATTGGTGTCGATTTAAACTAAATGTTTTTTATTTGATGATGTATGAATTGTTCAAATTTTCTCGTCATGACCTAATTGACAAGAGTATAATAAACACAAGTATTTGATAAAACAAATTACTTAAAACTTAACCCAACACCTTATGGCAGGAGGAGCTTAAGACAACCATGCGCCACATGTGCATGTATTTTTCATTATTTAAAAAAATTGATCAATTAAAGCTTCAAAAACCAACAGTTATAACTAGTCCAATCAAAAAGAGATATTTCAAGGAACAAGTGAGTAACAATTGAACAAGCAGAATTTGAAAGTAGTAATATGTATAATAATGAAATCAAAACAAAGAATAAACACTCACAAAATATGATACGCTACTGCCAACATAACACACCAATAATTCTATGGAGCATGAGTCTAAAATGTCATAAAGAACTTCAACTAGCATCATTATATAGAGTGACAACTAAACCTAGTTAGCAATTAATTAAAAATTAACCAAGAAAAATATTAACCAACGGTTGTCAACCATGTAAGAGCTTGGAGTGAATTTACAAGTGTGTGATCAATTATGTTAGATTAACTCTATCTTGGATCAACTCCAAATAATGTTAACCATGGTTATGAAGTTAATTGTGATTAGTTTAGGTTAGGTATTATGTGCACCTTATCTCTTCTAGTATAGAAGAGAGAAGTTGACTCTCTTTGCGTACAGTTTAGGATAGCATTGAGAGAGTGAACAGGTTGGAGTAGCGCTTGGCTATGGAGGCCGTGTAATCATCCATGCTTTAGTGAAGTTATGCTCTTGCCCGTGGACTTAGCCTGTGAAAGGTGAACCACATTATCTTGGTGTTGTGACTGTCGTGCGTGCTAGTCGATCTGAATGAGGCTGTCTTTCAATTGCTATCAGAGCTCGTTTAATGCACGTTGATTTCTTATTTCCATAGTTTTGGAGAGCAGGGAGGCGCGGAAGCGCTGTCGGAGATTGTACTTGCAATTTGAGAGATATTGTCGGCTGATTCTTTGTAGAAGAGTAGTCAGAGACACCAATTTCACTTTGATGAAAGAAGTAAAA